AAAAGAAACCATATGAAAATGGTTCTCTGTCTAATGGATACTATAAAATGATATTTTCTGCCAAATGACCAAACTGCACCCATAGAAATACAAGCTAAAAGAATCACAGTAGAAATCAATGCTGTTCTGCCTTTTATTTTTTTTCATGGTAACAATTCTCATTCCTGAGCCCCGGTCTGTTCCTCCCCATTCCCAGCATCCCTTTCACAGCCTTGCCTAAGAAGAACAGAATAACTTTTTAACACATTGTTCAAAGGGGTTTGGTGTCTGGCAAAAGTGCTATTTCCTTGCCTTTCTGCGCTGTTTTCCATTGTAATTATTTTATGTTTTAAAAACAAACAAGAAGTGTCGATGACCCAAGGTATGCCAGACAGTGTGACAACATCTCTTCATTTCCCAAAAATCTGAAAATTAATTATTGCAGAAATATAAGTTTTGCAGAAAAAAGCCAGAGCAACAATTCTGTAGACAATTTTTTACTTTGAACTTTGATGTATAACTGCTTTACTGTATTACAGACTCAAAAGACTGCTGTACACGATTTATAAATGCCGTGAGGTCTTCCAAAAAAAGATCTCGACGTATTTCTCTTTGATGTTATAAATAGCAAGTTTGAGAATATTTTCATGATCCGCATCAGCATTAAGCCACAAGAAAATGCCTGTTCAAAGCATCTGCACCAACAGCATGAAAGTTTGTCACCGAAGTGTTCCTTGTTGCTCTAAATCAGTTGCTTAATTACTTAATTATCTCGATCTTTTATAAACTGCCACTTAATATTCATTTCAGTAAACATACCATGAAACACCACCCTTCGCATGCTCTAGGTCTGTTCACACATTTCATAGAATCATAGAATGTTTTGGGTTGGAAGGGACCCCTAGAGGTCATCTAGTCCAACCCCACTGCAGGGAGCAGGGACAATTTCTGATGTGGATGGGTCCTGCGGTACGACCTGGTGCATTCAGCTATGCCCGTGGGTTGGCGCTTGGTAGAAGAGTGAAGGGCATCTCCAAAAATAGTCTATACAGGGACATCCTCCTGTGCCCTCCAGCAGCTCTGGCCACGGGCAGCCTCCTGCTGCCGTGGGGCTGCCAAAGGCACCTGCTGGACCCCACACCGGTCCTGTCCCTGCCGCGGGCAGTCCTGCTCATCAGCAAGCCCCAGCCCACTCTCTCCTCTGTGCTTTGCGAAGTACATGGTTGGTGTTTTGCAGCCCTTGGCCCGGAGTCGATTTTGGTAGGAGCAGGAAGGCTGGCCAGCCCCACAGATGAGTCTTTTCTTCTTTAGAGGTGAAGTCAAGGTGAGAGCCCAGCCACGCTGATATCAGGGACAAAATTCACCTTCAGTGTCACCAGGTCCTTTTCCCTGCATTTTTTCTTTTTAAATTACATTTAATTATTCTAAAGTATATAGGCATTGCTGGCAGTCAGTGAGAAAGCAAACGTGGCCTGCCTCAGGGACCTGTGCTCAAACTGGCTGCTCTCAGATTTGTTATTCAAATTTCCCCTCCACCAGCATATTCCAGTGATAAGCGCATGGTGCAGGCACAGTGCAGGCAGACAAGATACGATTGTCATACAGCCATCTGATAAATATAATAACCCTACAACATATCCGTTTGCATCATCAGCTTTTCACTCTTCATTTTATTTCATCTCCCTAAGGACTCCTAACCCTTCTGAAGTCCACAGCAGGCTTAAAAAGAAGCAGGTTGTTTCCTGGAGAAATCTCACACGTGAGAGGAAGAATGGGAAGTTGTTCTCACATTTATTGCAAGTCAGAAACTGGAGGGGAACACTCCCTGACCGGACTCAAAACCTGGTCGTGAAGGGAAGCAGAGCAGAAACCCAGGCTCCGTAGCTGGCTGCTGCCTGCCCACCTGCAGCAGAGCAGAGCAGTTTGGGGCAAGGGAAGGCTCTCCAGCCTCTCCGACGTGATTCTGGTGGCACCAGCACCCCAGAGGGTTCCCCAGGCGTTCAGCTGGTTGCTGCCCCATAGCTGTTTCCGAAACAAGAAGTAGTATCTTAATCTACCGTGTTGCCTATGTCCCTGAGGCACCCAGCATGACTGGGCTTTAGCTGATGGTCACCGTATTAACAGTCTTTTACGTTCAGCAGTATCACTGTTTTAAAAGGCTGTGTGGTCCTCTGTGGACCAAAAAATTGACGCTCCTCATCTGTGACTCCAGTACAGCCAATAATAGATGTTTACATTAAACAGCTTTTTAGTAGCTGTATCTTGCGAATAGCTGTTAGCTGATTAGGCTGTTAGATTAAATCTGTTTGTTCAGTGAAGTAATCAGAACCAGGCTGGTAAACACATATCATGCCACTCTGTACACAATATACCTTTTCAAGGAAATCTTACATGCTGCTGTAACCTGCCTATACTTATGTATCTTGTTGTATTATAAAATATAGCTTACAGAAGGGAGACTACATGGGGGCTTTTGTTTTGCGCCTGGATAATCTTGGGCCGCTCCCAGTGTGACCACAACATTTAATCAAACAAGTAAACATACTTCAAATGAGTTCAATTTACCTATAAATAAGCCTGTTAAACAAATATGACCATTACAGCCATGATTTTCTTCTTAAGTGGGTGACAAAATAAACAGTTTGAGCTACTGTTCACATTAACAGCTGCTCCTGAGACAAGGGGCCAAGAATGCTATTTATTCATTGCACCCAGCATCCTCCAGCAGTGTGCGGGGGGCTTCTGGAGGCTCCTCTGGCAGTGGATTAAGTGCCTGTCCTCTCAAAATTACCCCGAACTGTTAGGATGGTGAAGAGGCTCAGCTGCCTTTTGAGATGGTCTTAAAAGGAAGGGGTGCCACTCGGTGAGCAGAAAACAAATGAGCATCGAGAGCAGACTTCTTCCCAGCATGGGAGGAGGAAGGTAGGAGGACAGGTCTTTAAAAGGATACTGCCTCACATACCCATTTTACTGAATTTTAAACTTTTTAATTAATTGTGGAGGAGAAGTGTTCTGCTTTCTTGTTGAAAACCTCTTCAGTGTTTAGCTCATTTGGACAGTTTGTCACATGAGTTTTGACTTTGTTTCCATTTCAAGCAAAGCCACCCACTTGGTCTCAGTTTGCTCAATATTTCGGTTGGAGTTTCTTCTTTCTGTTCAACAAAAAACCAAAATCTTCTGAAAACGAGGTCGTTTTTTAAAGAAAAACAGTTTCCAGGGGAGACCATATTTCTTTAGGCTAAACAGTTTCTCTGTCAGAGAACAAAGGGAAGTTACTCATCTTTTAAAGGGAAAACTAGAGATAGCACCTTAATTCTTTTTGATTGGCTTCATAGCCTGTTTTACCATATTTGTTTAATTTATTTACACATAAAACAAATGAAGGTTGAAATCTATATGACACATTTATAACCTGAATGAGCTTAAAACATTTATAATTATGTCCAGTGTATTCAGTTAAATCGGTGTTCAATTCCTTCTGCTGTGAAAATCGAAGATTTGAGTTAATAAAGATCCATCTGGCTGTGCTTCCTCTACCTGGGTGTTGAAGTGATAGTTAAAGTGAGCAGAGATGGTGTTAAACATTTAGAGGTAGAAAAAGGGGGAAGCAAGAGGCATCCCAAACAGTAAATATACTCAGGCTGTGTCCTGTACTCCGGAGAGTGCCTCTGGATGCACCCTCTCCCTGGCACTTGGGTGACACTGCCTGGCACTACTTGAAAATCCCTCTGTAAACAAAAGCTGCTACTTATAACCCCATAGCTTTCAGGGTTTTCCAAGCTATAATTTATCATCTACATTCAGCTTCCATTTAGCTTCTAATGGCATGGTGTGCTTGTAATAACATTTGTTTCAATATGGGAAAAAATAACTATTTTGTTGTATTCTGTCCAGAATAACCAGAGGCAGCGAAGACCTGAAGCAAATGGGTTAAATTAGTACTGACTGAATTGCCATGTCAGTATTTTTCTGACTTAAACAACCACGTTATACCAGAAGGATAACGCTACTTGTTAAACGCTATTTGTGTCTGCAGCTGCAGGCTAAACCAATGTTCAGAAGATGTTCCTCTCCATGTTTGTGCCTTGGCTAAAACCAGTATTAACATAATAAATATACAAAACAATGCTCAACTACTAGCACTGAGATAAACTAGAGCCCAACAGAAAAGATATTTGCTTATACAACAGCTAATGCTTCAGATCAGTCAAGCTCTTCCATTATATTTTGGCAGCAAAAGGTCCGAAAGGTTTTTTTCTTCCTTCTCTTAGATCTTTTCCTTACATCTCTGTTTACAGCTAGAGCCTACAAGAATTTTTCAGCAAGACTTGATCTGGTCAGGCAGTGCCATGTGCCTAAAACCAGAGGGCTCGTGGAAACTTTTTGGTTTTGCTGGGCTGCACAGAGGGTTCAGTTATCGCTATCAAGGCTGCAGGAGAGGTTGAGTGTAGGCTCCTCAGCTTTAGCCTTCTGTTTCGGACTTGTAGGTCTTAGACTTATGTATCAAAAAATGAGTTGAGGGAGCTTAAGAATCTAAAATTACTGATTTTTCAAGAGCAAAGTGAGAGATAGAGGACTCCAACCAATTTTGATGAAGACGGCTAGGACTGTTTCAACAGAAAATAACAAAAAGGACTTCTCAGCTGCCCACTATACAAGGCATTGCGCAGTGCAGGCCTCTGGGAGCCACTGCTACCCTGGTGTGAGGACCCCCCCTTATACGGTTTATTTCATCAAATGGGATTCCCATTTCAAGGGAAGTCTAAATGATAAAAGTGTCATTCTGTTAAAAGTATCATTACAAAATAGTTCCATCCTTCATAAATAATGAAATGTGAATTTCCTACACATCCAAATAAATGAAGGTGTTTACAATTGCCCTTCTTTTTCCTCCCTGCAGCTCTCCCGTACAGAAAAGAAAAAAAAAACAGTTGTAAATGTATCTCAGCAAAACCAGTATGTATCTCAGGAAAAACAGTACCTGTGCTGCATACCTACATGGATTTGAGACCTCAATAAGGATGCAACTGTGCTATGAATCCGTAAATGGCTCTTGCATAAGGAGCAGCTGGTCAAACAGTATCCGTGTTTCCATGTATATCTTCATGGTTTGCATCATTCTGGCCACAGTGGCTGGAAATCTGACAGTTATCATCTCAATATCACATTTTAAGCAGCTCCATACGCCTACCAATTTCCTGATACTTTCTATGGCTACAGTAGACTTTTTGCTGGGATTCCTCATCATGCCTTGCAGCATGGTGCGCTCTGTTGAACACTGCTGGTATTTTGGGGAGCTCTTCTGCAAGATCCACACGAGCACGGATATTATGCTGAGCACGGCTTCCATCTTTCATCTTTCCTTCATATCCATCGACCGTTACTATGCTGTGTGTGACCCTCTAAGATACAAATCAAAGATAAACACTTTTGTTATCCTGGTCATGATATTTGTAAGTTGGATGGTCCCTGCTGCTTTTGCTTTTGGAATGATCTTTCTAGGCCTCAATTTGCAAGGGGCAGAAGACATTTATCATCACATACACTGTGCAGGAGGATGCGTTGTCATTTTTAGTGAAACTTCAGGTGTTGTGGCCTCCATAGTGTCTTTTTACATCCCTGGATTTGTTATGCTGTACATCTATAGGAAAATATATTCTATAGCCAAGAGGCAGGCAAGATCCATTGATGCAATGAGCCAAAAAAAGACGCAATTTGAAATGAAGCACCACATTTCATTCTGCAGAGAAAGGAAAGCTGCCAAGACATTAGGCATAATAATGGGAGTGTTTCTCATTTGCTGGAGTCCATTCTTCTTCTTTACAGCAACCAATCCATTTATGAATTATGTGATACCTCCTGTTCTCATTGATGCTTTGGTTTGGTTTGGTTATTTAAATTCTACATTTAACCCAATTGTTTATGCATTTTTTTACATGTGGTTTCGCAAGGCATTAAAGATGATTCTGTTTGGAAATGTTTTTCAGCAGGACTCTTCCAGGACTCATTTGTTTTCAGAGTAACGTGATTTAAATCATTGGATTCATGACCTTGCATTTTTGTCTTGAGGCTGAACTCCTGGATGTAAGAGCTGAAAATGAAGGAAACGCCTACTTGTTTACTCATTTACCAAACCTGGTTCAAGCCAATAAGCAACTATTGCGCTTTGTGTCTTCTTTCATTCCAGATTGGTATTTGTACGTGTTCTTTTGGTTATAGCTATTTATATGCAATGCACAGGAGAGCAAGACTTTAAGTTTGTAAAAACTTAACAGTGGTTTATATCCCTGCTCTTAATAATTAAGAAATTATTCCGATACAACAGATTAATTTCTTGAACAAAGTGTGTTTATATTAGAATATTTTTGTTTATTTATTGTCCTCTAGAAAGAGCAGAAAAGCCTTTCCTTTTGAATTTCTAGACGTCTCCGAGTAATAACTCAAAGCTTTCAAGTTGTATCCCTCCCCCTCAGTATGTGTACAGAGGTCAAACCAGGCCCATATACAGCCATAACAGGACACTCCATGGAGGGAAGGTAGGACAGAGAAAAGTCATGCTGCTCCTTCTGTTTCCATTTCAACTAGTGCTTGTCACTTGTGAGTTTGTCACTTAAAGGCTTTGCTGCTTAACAAGATCAAAAGCATGTTTAACAAGATCAAAGACAAGGAAAAAGATGATGTAGAGAATGAAAAGCAATAGTGGTAAGCAACATTGAACCTGACAATGCCAGAAAATTATGCTTGTCTAATGAATGTTTCGATGTAAAGTATTCACCAATTTGCATCTTACAGAACTTTTTTTTAGCTTGTTATTTTGTCTGATGGCAATGCTGTGACAGCTAGTGAGGAAAATATACAGAGAAATAGAAATGCTATGGTTAGCCTGAATGAAAGTTGCATGGGGCAGGGTGAATATAGAAGTACCAGGAGGAGTGGCAGAAGACGGGCTATAGGAATGGCTTGGGATGACAGCGCCTGGGTGAGCAGGCTGGCAAGGTTACATCTGTGTGCAGCTTCTTAGGACACCCAGATTGGGACATGAAGGGCAGGCAAAACCTAGCACATGGTCACCAGCTGAAGAAGACCCACAGGCCATCATTTTTTTTAATCTATGACCCAGCTTTTCTAGAATTGACATATCACCAAACAGAAGGAAATAATACCTGTGGCCTGATCCTGTGACATCTGGTTGGACTATGGACTAGTCCTGAGAATGGACAGAAAAGGATTAGTACCTGAGAAGAGACTACGGGGAGAAACTGATGACTCTGTACTGAAGTAAGAGCTATGCTCAGCAGTAAATGATGTCCTCCATTCACGTTGCTGGGATAAGTGCACATCGTGTGTGTATCTTGTCTTTCTTTTCTGCACCCTGTAGAGCACTGAAGCACCCTATGCTGTAGACCATAAAAGTTGAATGATGTTACATTTCAGCAGAGCAAAAACAGGATCTGAGATTGTGTCTTTCACTGTTTCATTGCCGTCTTGTAAGTTTGCACTCTCCTAAATGACGTAAAAAGGAACAATGAAATATAAACCACATGGGCGCTAATAATTGTTAGTGTCAATATGACTACTTTAATACTTTATCTCACAGAAATAAAATAAGTTAAGATTAAAAATAATCTATCTTTATGATAAATGAATGGTTAATTCTCTTCTTCCTTCATCCTCAGTGAGGCTGGCCTGATGTAGTTCAGTGTCATCTTCTGAAATGAACTGCATGATCGCTCGGACATCTTGATCTCTCTTGAAACAGTAGTTTCAGAAGCACTTCCAGGTGATACCTCCTTTCTTCTGGTGGTGTTATAGGTAAAAAAATTCCCTATGAGGAATGTTGCCCATCTGAGGCTTTTTAAGTACATTTAGTAAGTTCAGCACATACTAACATAGTCCCTTCAGGAAGTCAATGGAGGTGTTTCTTCCCCCTCATCCACTGTGTATCTATCACCCTGAAAATCTGGAAACACTACTGTTTTTCCAGAAAACTTCAGCTCTACCAAAGTTCATAACAGGTCAGACTCTCTTCATAACATGGTTTGGCAGCTCTCTGGCATTTTTTTCTCATTGCAGGAGGAGTCTGTAAGTGAATGTGATCCCAGCTTGCTTGCAGGATGGCCTCTAGATCAAATAGAGCACATGTCTCTGCAACCTGCGCCTAGACCCTAGTGCAAAGCAATCTATTTAAAACCATAAAAACCAGACCCGCACTCCTGAAGGCTGATAGCCACCTAACCTAAATTTAGACATCTAAAAGTTAGGCACTGCATCTGCTCTAGCCATTGGTAGCTCTCTTTATACTCACTGTAGAAAAACAGTCATCTTCACAGGTTTTTTTAATCTCATCAGTTTATCCATTTTTAGGTAAGATGAATTGTCCCTGCAGATGCTCTTTCTCTCACTACTAAGAGGAATCTTCCAGTCACTAGAATAGATTTTTTTGATGATTTTAGATATAATTTTTAGGTAGCTGAGCTGAGGATTACTCAGCATAGGTGAATCCCACACTATAGAAAAGTTGGCATGATTCTGGGACTCCAAAAAGGCTTGCGTCAAAAGCCAGTTTTCTGGAACCAGCAGTTAGATGCCTTCTCTAACTTGCTTGACTAACAAGAGGCCTGAAATGAGATTGTGGATCTAGGCAGTGATCCACAGAGCTGCTACTGAAGGTTGGCCTGAAGAGCTGCAGCTGAGAGAGGGTGGTGGGACGGTGGATTGTGGAGTCCCAGAGGAGCATGTGCAGTTCCCTGGCGTCCTGCCCTGGAGCACATCAGAAGGGAAGAAAGTCAAAAATTGTCAGCAGCCAGTAGGTCATCCTGAGCAGATGACCTGCCAGGGAGGACAGATTGGGGAGACCTTGGGTTTAGAGGAGTCTCTCAGCCATCCTACGCATGCTGTGCAGAAGTTTGGAGGGTGTCGCACTTTAACCCTGGTAGGCAGCTCAGACCTACACAGCCCCTTGGTCACTTCCCCCCAGTGGGATGGGGGAGACAATCAGAAGGGTAAACGTGAGAAAACTCTTGGGTTGAGATAAAAACAGTAAAGCAAAAGCTGTGTGTGCAAGCAAAGCAAAATAAGGAATTCATTCAATACTTCCCCTTGGCAGGCAGATCTTCTGCTACATCCAGGAAAGCAGGGCTCCATCACACCTAACTGCTACTTGGGAAGACAAAAGCTATAACTCCGAATTTCCCCCTTCCTCCATCTTCCCTTGGGTTTTATTGCTGAGCATGATGTCATATGGTATGGGATATCCCTTTGGCCAGTTGGGGTCAGCTGTCCCAGACATGTCCCCTCCCAACTTCTTGTGCATCCCCAGCCTCCTCACTGGTGGGGTGTAGTGAGAAGCAGAAAACTCCTTGACTCTCTGTAAGCGCTGCTCAGCAATAGCTAAAACAGGAGTATGTTAGCAACACTGTTTTCATCACAAACCCAAAACACAGCACTACTGTTGTGGTTTAGCCCCAGTTGGCAACCAAGCACCATGCAGCTGCTCACTCACCCTCACCCCACACTTGTGAGCTAAGAACAGTTTAATAATTGAAATATAATAATAAAAATACTAATACTAATACTAATAATAAATTTTAATGGAAAGGAGAACAATGAGAGCGAGAGAGAGGGAAACAAAACACAGGAAAAATAAGTGATGCAACTGCTCACCACCCGCTGACCAATGCCCAGCCCATCCCCAAGCAGCAATCACTGCTCCCTGGCCAACTCCCCCCAGTTTCTATACTGAGCATGACATCATATGGTCTGGGATAGCCCTTTGGCCAGTTGGGGTCAGCTGTCCTAGCCGTGCCCCGTCCCAGCTTCTTGTGCACATGGCAGAGCAGGGGAAGGTGAAAATGTCCTTGACTCAGTCTAAGCACTACTTAGGAACAACTAAAGCATCAGGGTGTTACCAACATTCTTCTCATACTCAATCCAAAACACAGCACTATGCCAGCTACGAGGAAGAAAATTAACTCTATCCCAGCCAAAGCCAGTAGAGAGGGCATCCCAAGATCATGGCTGCACAAGATCACCACAATCTATTTTGTGTAAATGGAAATAGTAGAAAATGACATTTTCAGTGTATAGACCACCAGCTCTCCTGCAAGCTAGTCTAGCCAAGATGCCACCAGTATTTACTCTCTACAGAAGCAACAAGGGGCTTTCACATACAGCCTACTGGTGACCTTCATTGACACCTAGAAGGCATTTTTCCTTGCTCTTAATAACCTGTAAGTGTAAGTTGGTCTTGTGCACGGCCCAGCTCAGAAAGTTTCAGAAATAACTTTTCCTCTGGTGCCCTATTACCTAAAAGTGGCACTTTCCCAAAGAGCCTCCTTGCCTTCTGTTTACAGAGTGCCTTCTCTGGCAAAGCAACTTCAGTGAAGTCCCAGGTGACGTTCTCTCATCAGCTCTAATCACAGGCAGCGCAAAGCTATTTCTCACTCTGAAGGGGATGTACAAATGAGATGTGTTAATGGGACTGCAGGGTCTCTACTTGAACCCAAGAGTTTGATAAATTAGGAGAGCACAAAAAAAATGCCCCATGCTGTTGTCCGATCAGATTATAAATTAGATCTGGTTAAACAGAACATACCTGACTGCAATCTCAAAGTGTCATTGTGTAAATGAAGTGCAAAGGGTATTGTTAAATTCCTTATCAACACATTTAATTAGTGACCTCATTAAACACTTCCCAGATGGCTACCTTTTTCAAAACAAATGTATCTCCAGTAGGTCCTTTTGTATGTTTTAACTTCCCTGAAAACATGTGCAAAGCAATTACTCCAGCATGACGAAAGGATCTGTTTTACCAATAAACCTACACCTGTTCATTTTGCCACCAGTGAGCTCAGTTTGCGACGTCACCTTCCTCTACTGCTTTGTACAAAACGGACAATAAGTTTCAGAGTCACAGATTGCCACCCATCCCCTCCTTCTTAGTGCCTGTAGCTTGTGTTTCTGTGGTTGTAACAGGGTGCTGCAGCCTGTGGGCTGCCCCCAGCTACGGCCTCATGCACGGTGGTCCCACCTGCAGCAGAGCCTCATGGTCTGCCCCTCAGTCACCAGATGCAGCAGGACTTGGGAAGAGGAGGAGCACTGCCTGCCCAGGCAGGACCCTTCCCAAAGGTTCACAGGGAAAGCCTCACTCCAAAATGGAGTATTTTAAGCAGCTAGATAAAAACGTACATTAGTGCACTGTTCAAACAGAAAAACTGAGCTCTCAAACTGTGTAAATATTGCAAAGTGTATGGCTTTCCTTAAATCATTAACTCATCCAGGTTGTGCACGCTGCATGATCTCTGTCCTCTACAGCGCATTAATACCTATTAAACAAGGAAGAAAATACTAGATACAATCAAACATAAGATACTTAGTGTTCTACAAAAGGTTTTTACTTCTGTAGTTTTTCTGATCATCTTAGTTATCTACAACACTTGTTCCACACTACTGCATCTAAAGACCTAATTCAGAAAAAGACTATGACTATGCCCAACTGTAAGCACTTTTTGACTAGTCTGTTTCCATTAGACATAGCCTAAATTTTACAAACTTCTGTGATTAAATGACTGGCCTGGTAGATGAGGGAAGAGCAGTGATTATTGTCCACCTAGACTTCAGAGAGGCTTTTGACACTGTCTCCCATAAGATCGTCATAGAGAAGGTAATGAAATATGGGCTGGATGAGCAGACAGTGAAGTGGATTGAAAACTGGCTGAATGGCCAGGCCCAGAGGGTGGTGGTCATTGGCATGAAGTCTAGTTGGAGGCAGCAACTGGGCAGGTGTACCCCAGGGGTCAATGCTGGGTCCAATCCTGTTTAACATCTTCATTAATGATCTGGATGATGAGGCAGAGTGTACCCTTTCAACCTCAATAATTCCATGATTCTATAATATTTAATTCCTATAATATTTCCTTCTTTGTAGGTTTCTTAATAAGATCTTTTCACCTTTATACTGCTACTTTAAATCCAACCAACCGCATGGGTAATGGAAAATGTTTCTTTTTGATGACTATGCCATAGCCTTTGTAAAACAAATTAATTTCCTAAGCGATCAGCTCCGCAGCTAACTTAGGCAGTGAGAACTCCACAACCCAGTCTTAGATGTCTGGACTTCTTATTTCCCATAGATATAGGAAAAGTCAGTCTCCTTAAACACTGAGTACTCAGAGCATACTGACTAAAAGATACCTGCCAGCTAAAGAGAGACCACTGAAAACAGAGTGCATCCTATACCATTTGGATTTCCTCAGTTACAAACAGGAGAAAACAATTCTTTGAGAAAATTTGAGCTTTTCTCTTGCTCAGTATTGCCGTGATTTCTGCTATACTGAAGCCAGCCCAGAGGAGTAAGCACGGTTAGTAATAAGTAACCAAATAGTTCTCTCCAATCAATAATTAAGAACAACATGGAAATTATAAGGTACAACATGAAGGAAACTCATAGGCTGTAATAAAACTAAACTGTTTTATCAGTAAAAATAATGACTACAACAATTTTCTTTCCACGCTGCCTTTGCAGTACAGCAGTGCCTCATATGACTAATTCTCAAAGACAATTTATCATAGAATCATAGAATGGTTTGGGTTGGAAAGGGACCTTAAACATCACATAGTTCCAACCCCCCTGCCATGAGCAGGGTCACCTTCCACTAGACCAGGTTGCTCAAAGCCCCATCCGACCTGGCCTTGAACTCTTCCAGGGATGGGGCATCCACAACTTCTCTAGGCAACCTGTTTCAGTGTCTCACCACCCTCATAGTGAAGATTTTTCTTCCTTATATCTAATTGAAATCTATCCTCTTTCAGTTTAAAGCCATTACCCCTTGTCCTATCACTACATGTCCTTGTAAAAAGTCCCTCTCCAGCTTTCCTATAGGCTCCCTTTAAGTACTGAAAGGCTGCAATCAGACCTCCCTGCAGCCTTCTCTTCTCCAGGCTGAACAACCCCAGCTCTCTCAGCCTGTCCTCACAGGAGAGGTGCTCCAGCCCCCTGATCATCTTCATGGCCCTCCTCTGGACTTGCTTGAACAGGTCCATGTCCTTCATATGTTGGGGGCCCCAGAGCTGAACACAGTCCCATGCTGAAGGAGGACCAATGGTGAGGTGCATGGGACACTGCTTTCTGAAGGTAATGCTTTTTGAAGTAATAGCCTCTATCCACAGATTTATTTAATTTTTAAATCTAATATAATTGTGTCTGCACAGATTTATGTTTTAGTAACTTCTTTTAATAATCATCTGTGTGAAGCTTGCATATCTCTCACTTGATTACTTAAAAATGAAGTTACTAGATATGCCTGTCTCAAAAATACTGACAGATATCAAAGGTAATATATTTCTGCTGTACACAATAACAACATTTTACTATTTTTGGAGTCTGTAAATGATTCTGTTGTAGATAATCCCAGAAATTTGCATTTTATTCCCAACAGAAAATTTCCTTGTTTGTCTTTAAAACAGCTGCTATAAAGGTAGACTCCTTTAAATGTTATTACTTTTCCCTTAATTCATTTAAAACTCCATGTTTATTTTTGCCCTGTTCTTATGACATATTGTATATCACATTCAATAAAAATCTGATCTCTGTTGAATAGCAGTCATTTACCCTTGGACTTGTAATGCATCTTCAATACGCCTGCATAAGGGCCAGCATTAAGTCTGAAGATCCACCTCTGGCCTCAGAGGACTCCATTTATTCACATTAATAGTGAATTAATTTTGCCTTTTCTTGTAAGAAAATAAATACTACCTTTCCTGTTTGCTTTTTTTTTTTTATAAATAATAGATTGTCCAATAACAATGATAGATTGACCTAGAATAACACTTCTTTTTATCAGTTTCTCTAATGTGTGGAGAAGATTTTCTGTACGTTATGCGAAAGCTGCATATACAGCCAGCAGGACAGAAAGTGCTGTTTCAGCCCATTAAGTTACAAGATGGTAATCTTCTTCAAGGTTATTAAATATTTCATTTCTAAGTTTCATTAGAAGTGGTAATCATTAAAAAATGTGAAAGACAGAATCTATCAGCCACTAAAATAAAAAAAAAACAGAGTATCTTTTCTTCACCTTTACCTTTAGCCTCTCCTTTCAAAGGCTTTTTTGGAAATTACTTTTATCTACCTTAAGTCACCAAAATAGCTCATCTATGCATGAGGTAAAGGAATTAAAGAGTAAACAAAAATAATAGTCTTGGGAATACAAACACTTGGCTTTGTTTATCTCCTGTTGATGTAAATCCCTAAATTTGATATATATTTTTAAGCCCAGATCTCCTGGGACTTAATTGTAATGTCAAAAAACCAAAAATATATTCCCACCTTTCATTAATTTGAGCCAAGTTACAAAGGGGGCCTGCCTTTTACCGGTGTTGCAGTTTTGCAGGGCAATAACAAAACAGGAAAATGTCTACTTAAAGAATCTATAGGTGGTATTACTAAAACAGAAGCAGGTAGGCCTAGCCTATACAACTGACTTCCAAGCATTCTTTTTAATCTTTTGATGCTCTGTTTCTGTATTTTCTTAATTTCAGGGTACTACCTATTGGAAAAAATCAGTGGACCAATCTGCATCCCGAGTTCTTTTTAAGTGGGTTAAATTGCTGTGGAGAAGACTGTCTCTTTCTGCTTAGTTTATCTCTAAACAGACTCCCAAACAAGTTATCAGGAAAAGAAATGGCAAAAATGGGTCTGGTTCTCCCCAAATAAATGAAGGGAATTTTCTGACCCTTGAAAATATTCACAGGTGTATTCCTATTCAAGCCAAGAGAAAGTTTGCCTTTGAGTTACTTCATTTCACTCAGTAATTTAATTCACGCTCTTGACTTACTTTCCCTTGTATTCTTACATTAGGATTTTGAATCTTTTGGAAACTCATGAAAATTAAATCTGCCTGTGGAATGAACTGCATCTCTGATAGAAAAATCTAATAAAGGATTGATTATGCTTTCTCCAGATATCGCAAGGGATTTGGCTGATTTCTCTGAGTTTGGAAATAGATCCTGTCCTAAGAGCTTTAGGTCACCAGGAGCATGAGGGGTGGTGATGTATCTATTCATAACAGCTGCCTTCATTCTCACCATCTTAGGGAACCTGGCCGTAAAAATGTCCATCTCCTATTTCAAGCACCTTCATTCTCCAACCAATTTCCTCATCGTATCCATGGCCGTCACAGATTTCCTTCTGGGCTTTGCTGTTATGACCTACAGCACGGTGAGGTCTGTGGAGAACTGCTGATATTTTGGGATGACATTCTGCAAAGTTCATTACAATTTCGACCTGATGCTCTGCTTATTTTCCATTTTCCATTGTCATTTCATTGCTGTGGATTGGTTTTATGCAATCTGCCACCCTCTGCATTATGCCAGCACCATCACTGTCGTGGCCATAAAACAAATCCCAGCCGTGTGCTGGTCACTGCCCTCTGCTTTTGCTTTTGGTATAGTCTTCTCAGAAGCTTGTGCTTCTGGAACAGAGGGCTATGAAATGCTGGTTAAATGCTTGAGCTTGTGCCCTATTGCGTTCAACAGACCATGGGGGGCTGTTTTATTTACAGTTGGTTTATTTGCGCCTGCTTGCATTACGATAGGCATTTATATTAAAATTTTTGAAGTCTCCCAAAGGCACACATATGAGTTGAGCCAGGCACACAGGCACACAAAAAGTGATAAGAAAAATGGGCTTTCTAAGAATAAAGATAGGAAAGCTGCCAAGATTTTGAGTACAGTTATGCTGGGTTTCTTAATATGCTGGTTTCCTTGTTTTTTTCACAATCTTAACTGATCCTTTTTTAAATTTTTCTACTCCTTTACCTCTGTTTGATGCTCTAAACTGGCTTGGGTATTTAAATTCTTTCTTCAATCCAGTAATATATGGCTTTTTCTATCCATTTGCATTCAAAAAACATTTATCTTAAAAGGCAAAATATTTAGCCCATATTTTCATACAATAAAACTTGTATCTGAAGGTCAGTCACAGTAATAGATTCTACTACTGACAGCAGCTCTAGAAATGAAGAAGGAACGGTGGATTACTGGATATTCATGGTTCAGTGAAAGCCTGAAATGCGGAATATGAGTTTTATGAGTCAGTCCTGTAGAATTATCTCATCAAATATTTCTTTAATAAAATCAGACTCATTTTATATGATATTTATTTACCACTTGTGTTCACTTTTAATGCCTTGATAGTGTTTCAGAAGTTTAAGTCTTTCTAGAATCTCTTAATGCATTGGTTTGTGTTTTTTTAATTTCAGAAAGTATTCACATACAGTCCATAAACTCAGTATTTCACCTAATCTTGTATGCATGCAGCTAATCTTTCTTGAAGTTCACCATCAATAATCTCCTAAACCGAATACATCCCAGGCTAATATGGTGGCAGTCTTGTCACCCTTTTGTGACTGGGGCATTAGCAGATGTATAGAGTCTGCCATTATTCCCAAGCAAATAGGATGTGAGTGTAATTTCATCTTGAAGTCTATCTTCTACCCTGGAAACAACAGAATCGGGTTTTCAGCACTTATCCTCTGCGTGCTTCGTACCTGGGGAGGAGTACATGGGAAGGAGAGTCCCGCTCACGCTCAGGGATGTGCTTGTCCTTTCTTGGTTTAGATGTCAGGCTCCAGATGTTATAAAATATGCTTGCTGATGGCCCACCCCATATACACCCCACCACACTTTCACGCTGACCTGGAGCCTCTAACTGAGGTCCTTGCCACACTGAGCTCCCTCCGAAGTCAGCCAGATTCGCTGCCAGAGCTCACATCAGTTAAGTGCTTAAAATAAGGCTGGCTGAGTTGCCGCTACTGGATGCAGCTACTGCAGTCTTTTAATTGCGAATTGTACCTCTGACTTACCTTCCACGGTATGCATACAGTTTCTACTCTACCCTTAGTAGAGTCTGACTACCAGAAAGTGACCCACATACGTATTCACTTCGTGGTTTATCGCATCTATACTAGTTTGGCATGGCAGTGATAGCTGCTAATTTTCTTTACTGAAGACTTTTTTAATGAATCTGTGATAACATGAAGACATTCTATTTTGGATCTGGAGAGTCCCAATTTCACCCCAACCCTGAAACACTTGAGACAGCAAGGAGCTGGAAGGTCACAGACTTGTCTGGGGTGGGGTGTAAGGCTCTCACCTTTCGTAATAACAAACATAAAACCCAAGGTCTTTAAGTTGAGGCAATTACTCTCTCTGTGGAAAACTGGCACTAGCTGAACAGCTAGCACAGGGAACAGAGCAGAGCTGGATGCAATAAAGACTTCAGGCACCTAGGAGCTTGGTACTACTTTGTCCCATATCATTGCCCAACACATGCCCAGGGAGACCCCTGGGTTAAACACGAGGGCAGCGGGAGCAGTGCTCAGGGAGAGAAAGAAAACTGAGCAGCAGGTTGCTTGCAGCCAGTGGCCCAGCTCTGGAAAGCTGGACCTCCAGCCCAGCCCAGCCCTGAGTTTTGAAGCCTGTGCTGTCGCCTCAGGTTTGTCTAGGCTCATCTTAATCTGGTTTTGCTCCTGCAGTGCTTTCCTGGGGGCCAGCTTTCCAAGGAGGGCAACGTCTGCATACATTTCACATGACACCTTACTGGCGAGGCTACCACCTGGGATGCTATCAAGAACTTTCTGCTTCTCCTTTTGGAGCTGAGCCGCATGAAATACGTAGTGTTTTGGGGCAATGTGGAGAGCCCGTAGTGTGCCGGTGCTGGCAGGGAGAGGGGAGCTCCGTGCCAGGTGATGGGGGACATGGCAGAGGCAGTGTTGCAGCCAGCTGTGCCAGGTCACATCTGCCTGAGGCTCCATGGGGCTTCTTCAGAGAAACTTGTGTGCCACCAGATCTGTCTTTGTGTTAAAACTAGTCCATGAGGAGGTTTTATTGAAAGCTAACAAATGCTAAATGTCCCTGACATCCTTCCAGCAGTGAAACCATGAGTCAGATGATGGGCCACAAAAAATTAGATACAACGCTAGACTTGGAGTCAACTACAGATCCTTCGTAAGTGCCTTCACAACCTTTGCTGCCAGCAGTATTTGCCACTGTACTCAACCATGCTGCGGGGTGAGTTTTAACCCCTTCTGTTAGTTACACAAGGATGTATTAAGTTAATGTTAGGTGTCTAATTAAGTCTCTAAGTCCACATTTAGGCATTTCTGAAAATTCTTATATGTATTAAACAGCTGGTGACACATGATGCAATTGGAGGTATTTTAAGTAATGATTAAATTACTTCACTAACATATAGCACAAATCATTCAGAGTCAGCCCAATACAATACATATCCTACAAAGACAACATTTCTTCTGGACTGCAAATCTTCAGGGAACAATTTTGAGCTATCTGTGAGGCTTCAGTGTGTCGTGTCCTTGCATGTGCCCTTGGATGTTAAAGTAGCATCTACTTAGTCAGTCTTGCTACCCAACTTGCAGCCTGCAGCTAGACCTTCAGTAGTTCTTCTGGATTGCAGATCTGTCAGATGGTGGGATTTGGTTCCTGAATGACTTTGTGGCATGCCATGCTGTTCCACCTGCTGTTAAACTTGATGCTAGTGCTAAACTTGGTGCTAAACAAAGCACTGCTTTGCACAAAATGTACGGCATCAGAGTAACAGAGATTTTTTGTGGACCACACCTGCTGGTGCACAGGAGAACCTGAGTGTCTGTGGGTTTTGCTCTAACATATTAGCCACATCCAGTTCAATGGGCTACACCATTTATGTTCCGATGTAAGCACTGCAGATCTCTTAATTTCTTCCTCTCCTTAAATATCATGGTAAGGTCTTTTGTATTATTTTCTCTGACACACATGATCACCCATTAATCTATTTTTCCAAACTACACCGTGAACTGTTCTAGCATGAATTCTGGTCTATATCAAATCCTGACCATGTTGTTCTCCTCAGGGCAGCAGCCAGAAGGGTTAGGACTTCTTGTATCTTTTTTACTGTGAATGATTCCAGCAAGAGCTAACGTTGCCCTCGGAGGATATATTTCCAATCCTGGATTCCGGAGAGAGTTCAGGCTCCCACATCCAGGTGGGCACCTCATTCTGAGAGCACCCCCATGCTCCTCTTCCTCTCTGGTCCATCCCAGTTGGAATACGCAGGACAGCAAGACATGCTTAAGAGCATCCCAGCCAGCTAAGCCGCACTCAGCCTCCCTCATGCAATGCCTATAACAGCAACATTCAGAGCTGTCTTCAAAGCCAGTCATTTTTATTCACACAGTTGCTATATTTTTATTCTAAAATGGTTTGTGGTCAGAATAGTTAAGCTCACTATTAATTTTTTTTTCTTTTGATCTTTTCTGTCACAGCCTAAACTGTGAGAAAGGATTTCCTACCCCCTTGTGGAATCCACAGGCAAAGGCAGCTTTAAAGAGAAAAAGTCGACAACGTCTATTATTAATATGGGGTAAAAAAAAAAAGAAGTTAAATCCTTGGGTTGCAAAAACACCAGCTGAAAACTTTTTGAGAAATAGATTTATTTTTTTTTCAAGCTCTATGCTTATTTTTATTTTATACCTTAATACTGCAGAGCACTTAAGTATTTAGCATGAAGTCACAGATACAACTGAAGGCAGGCATGTTCTGGAGGTGAAGGAAGTGAGCAATAACATAAAACATCCAAATGGCGATTCTCTGGAGACACTGAAGTAGCATTTCCAAAATAATTTATGCAAGATTTAAATTAAAGGTTTTGGTTTACAGGCATTCATTTTTCTATTCAAAAGAAAAGTATGCCAAAGAAGTCAGTTCAGATAAATTAATGCTCAGTAGTCAGTGTCCAATTTTCCGTTATGTTTTTCTGACAAAAAAACCCACAACATTTCAATCAGATTTAGTGAAAATTAAGTAAATGCACCTAACTGTTCCGAGAAACTCCTGACAAAAGGGCATATACAGCTATAACTGTAATATATTAAAATAATTTATTTATTCTTCCGTTTACGTAACCTAATCAAATCATCTTCCCACTGGATCAGTTGCGTGTCAGTCTTCATGGCTGCAGCAGCAACAAAGCATCGATGAAGCACTACAGAGAAAACTGACATAGAAAAGGATGTGCAGTTTCTCAAGAGACAGCCATGAGTCTTTTTAGCTATATATAAACTAAGAACGTTCCAGTCTTTCTTGTAAGAAAGGAGGAGTGCTTTCACCAGTATTTTTAATTACACCTTTCCACCAAAATGCGGGATGGAGAAACAGCTTTGCATTTTAATAAGAGAGAGGATATCTAAACACACAAAGAAGTAATTCATCTTGTAGTTCTCTGGAGCAAGATGGAGAGGCAGGGGAAGGGAGCCTTCTGAGGCAGGAGAGGAGCGGGAAACAGGCAAATATTTGTTTGACTCTGATGGGAGCTGCCTTCTCCTCTAGCCTGGAGAAGAGGAGGCTGAGGGGAGACCTTATCGCCCCCTACAGCTGCCTGACAGGAGGCTGTAGCCAGGTGGGGGTCGGCCTCTTCTCCCTGGTAACGGGCGATAGGACGAGGGGAAATGGCCTCAAGTTGTGCCAGGGCAGGTTTAGGTTGGACATGAGGAAAAATTTCTTCACTGAAAGGGCTGTCAAGCACTGGAACGGGCTGCCCAGGGAAGTGGTGGAGTCCCCACCCCTGGAGGTATTTAAAAGAGGGGCAGACGAGGTGCTTAGGGACATGGTTTAGTGGTGGGGTGGCCGGGTTAGGTTAACGGTTGGACTTGATCTTAAAGGTCTTTTCCAACCTAAACGATTCCACGATTCTCCTCAGGCCCTTTAATTTCAGAGCCCGCGCATGACCAAAGTACCCTGACACTTGCAGGTACCTGACACCAGCACAGCTGAGGGACAGAGTATGTCCTCTTGTCCTTCAGTTTAGATGCCAAGTGACAGAAGTGGCAGCTGAAGCACTTGCGACTGTCACATTGGTCTCTAGACCTGATGTAACATTGTAATCAAGACAGTTTAATATTTTGGAAGATATAAAGATATGTTTTAAAT